ATATATATATATGTGTATGTACACATATATACACAACATATATATATACATACATACATGCATGTATAATTACATATATATATATACATATGCATATATATATACACATACAGATGCACGCACACACATCTAAACTATAGTATAAGGCTCTGCTTTAGCAGCTTTAGCATCGTCCCTGACACGAACTTGTTACGTGTTGACGTTTTGCTTTTTTTTGGGGAGGGCGGGGGGGGGAAAGGGTTCGGCTTTAGCATCAGGACTGACTGCACCTATATCTGAAGCCGCGCCTGAACTGCAAACCTCCACCCTAAACGAAGCGAGGGGCTTGTTGCTTGGATTTCAGCGGTTCCAAGGCTCCGGGAAAAAAGCCGGCTCGTGTACCCAGCAACAGTCCTCAAGATGTAAGCTGCAACAACAGTTGACTTAATAATTAGAACAGGCTTCTTGAAAGGCCTCATCATGGGTTACTGTAAGTGTTCGATGGCATAGGGGCCCTAACTGCTCTGCAAATGACTAGACTTGTGGGTATATGAAGTCTAAGTATGTAGGCATTGTATGATTAAGGGATATGCTTTGTAATTAATCCGAGCACTGTATATAAATTATCTAACATATTCCTGCCCTTCGCGCTCGCCACCAACGTTGATGAGCTTCTCGCATCGCTTGAACTTCACACTCTTAGTTATACTTGGAGGGTCATGGGCAGTTATAGGAGGGCCAAAAAGTCTCCTCACATTATCGATACCCTACTTATAACCAGCATTTCAAACTACCCATGAACCTCGAAGTCCAGGAGAGACTCAGATTAACACTGAATCAGCCCTACAAAATCCCAGCATCCACAGGTTCTTTGATGATGCCTTGCTCAAGGCAGGAAGGTTGACTTTTGAACGTTTACTTCGTATCTTGACTAATGGTGTTGCTTCCGCCGATATATCAAAGCGCAAAGTTGTGGCTCAAGGTGTGGGTTTTGAGTTTGGGTTTCAGGACTTGCCAAAAGCTGGAACAAGCAGCCACAGACCTCAAACCCCAAATCTGCCCTTCTCCCCAAACCCTAAGCGCCAGCCCTGAGCCTAAACATGCCCTGAACACCAACCTAAAACCCAAATTCCAGAACTACTTCTAAAGCATCTCAAGATGTACCGACTTGACTTGTGCCCCTGGTCTTCATTGAAGCTGACAACGTACCGAAATAACCAAGGTGAAAGGACAAGGCAAAGACCATAAACTCCTGAGGAGTTGGATTTTGGCAGTTGTGGGCTTAAGATGCTTTACCTGCCGATTTAATGTTGTTTCCTGTTCGAGATGCATAAGTAGAAGCAGCAAAAAAATGCAAAGCTGAATCCACAGGAGGCTCTTTCGCACAACCTCTTGGAAAGCTGGGGGTGCAGCTTGAAATCCGTCCAGAAGGCACGAAATGGTCGGGAGTGTTGACGGTTGTTGGGGGGTTAATTAGTCAGGCCTCGCCATTACCTGTTCCCTGAACCTCCCCTTCCTGGACAGGACATGTTGAAGGGAGGCCCGCATCCCTTTCCTCGAAGAGCACTAGAACTTGAACCAATACACAAGTTGTTTGGCTACTGGATGAGGACTCTATACTAGGAAGGTGTGGCCTCTGAGCATGTCGTGCTTTTCTACGGCTCTGGATGCGTAGTAATGGTATGCTATCCCGTGTAGTCCATAGTCTCCATTGTAGTTCCTTATTGGGGAGTACCTTATCCTAACTGTAAACCACAAAAAGGAACTACAATGGAGCCTATAGGTAACTATACAATACGATACCCCCAAGGCACATTGTAACTCTTAAGGCCTCCCATATGAATATATTAAGCGATAAACAAGCAAATCAATCCACAATACACACACACATATACATATATATATATACACATATGTATACACATACATAGGGAGCTGTCTGTTTCGTAAATGTCTTGAGTTTTAATATGTTTTCATTGCACCATCGTTGGCAACGATGTATGAAAGAGATGCGCCTGCACTGTCACGAGCATGCGCGGGAATTATCATTTACATGTGCAGGTTTTGTTTAGGGTCTAGGGTATGGGAATCCGTTGCACGTGTCTGAAAAATCTCTTCCCTGTGCCTGAAAAGCTCCCCGACTTGCACCTGATAATCCCGACCTGTTGTTGATAAAGCCGTAGGTGCTTGATAACGCCGTTCCATGAGCTGAACGATGGCGCCTGAAACAACCATCACCCTGTATGTATATATATATATATACATACATACATACATACATACATACATACACACACACACATACATACATACATACATACATACATACATACATACATAGATATAGATATATATATATATGTGTATACACATAGAGAGAGAGAGAGAAAGAGAGAGAGAGAGAGAGCGACATGTGTATATATTTTTCTAGACACTATACATATAAGATGTATCGTTCCGCAAGGGGGGCATCGCAGATGTTGATCCAGAGGCGCAGAGTACATTTATAAGATAATTATCCGAACTATCTAGTTTTTTGACTAGTCAAAGTGTTTCTGGTGTTCTATTGTGTACTATACTGACTATACTCTCTTGTGTCCGGGACTGTGAGGGGCTATGATCCAGCAGAGAGCACCGTCAGTAGGTTTCTACCCTTTGGCAGCCTTTGCGACGAGAACTTGAAAGAGCAAAGGATGAGTTTTGCTATAAGCATTGAAAGCATGGCAGATTACAGAGATTGTGCATGTATTCAACATTCGTTTAAGTCTTTTCAAGGTTCGTTTTTTACAATGGTAAGACAAGTCAAACAAATCTAGCAAGTGTGCGGCCGGATAGATCCAAACCGTCCCCTGTACAGTTGGCAAAGAAAAGCGTGAACAAAGAGCACATGTGGGATCGTATAGCCACGACTTCGTCACATGGACCCAGATAGCGATCAGGCATTTGCTACCTCAGGTTCAGTGGTTATGGGCATGAGTGTTTGGGTTGGGGGGGCTATAGAGCTTACTCAACCCACCCTACAACCCTACACCCAGCGCTTAAAACTTGAGCCCTCAAACCCGAATGCCCTAAACCCTTATCCCTAAACCCTTCAAACCCATATCCGAAGCTCTTAAGCCCTAAACCCTGAAACCCCAAAGCCGAAGCCCTGCCCTGCCTGCAGGCTGCCGAGGAAGAGCTGCCGACTGTGGATCAGGTGTCGCGGTTCTCCTGTGCTCCGTTTATGGATGTTTCCTAATGCGTACGTGTAGAACTGGATGTGTATATACCTGTGTACATGCACGTGTGCGTGTGTATATATATATATACATATTATATATATATATATGTGTGTGTGTGTGCGTGTGTCTCGCTCTCTCTCTCTCTCTCCCTCTCTCTCTCTCTCCGTAAATACGATTCGTAGACAGAGAGAGGGTGCATATGTATATACATACATGCATGCATGCATGCATACATACATACATACATACACGCACAGGTATATATGTACACACACAAACGCCTATACTTTCTCACATAATTCGTAAAGGCGTTCAGTCGTGGTCCACGACGCGGTAGAAAAGTCAGAAGACAGATTTGCTACCTTTGCTCCTTAGCGAGGATCCTTTCATCTAATTGCGATCGCAAGGCTCTTCTAGGGTTTTGGGAAGGATTCAAAAGGTTCTTGCTTGCAGTGCTTTGGGGTAAAGGGTTTAGGGTTAGATGGTGTTCATTGCACTCAGATGGTTTTTCATCTTGAACATGTTGCACCCCTGGGCCCCGAACAAACCCCAACCCCTAAACCCCTAAACCCTAAACCAACGTTTACCCGATGCTACCCCAAACCCTAAACCCGAAAAGTCCTCAGGACCCGACGTGGTGTTTAACAGCCCTCAAAGCCTAAGCCCCCTAAACCCCTGACCTGCCCTAGGCCTTGTAAGACATGGGCCCAAAACCCATACTCTCTGAAGCCCCACTTCTTAAAGCCCTGCGAACCTATGACCGCAGCCTTGACAGCTAGACTCCACCCGAACTTCTTTTTCCTGCATCCTAAACCCTTGAACCCAAAGTCCAAAGAAACTTCACCACCATCCTCCATAAACCCTTATAGCACCCGAAGGAACTCCCCTCCCAGGTTTGGCCGGCTCTCCTCTTCTTCGCCGTGTCTTGCCCCTTGGGCCTGTGAGGTCTAGCTTTGATGTCGAGACTTTCGGGAGGGTGTAGGGTTTAGGGTTTAGGGTTTAAGGGCGGACATGAATGATCAAGATCTAGGCTTGGCATGGGACCTTAGTGATGCCTTTTTTTAGGGGATCCTGCAAGGCTTTTGAATCGGTTTTTGCGGACTCCATACAGAAGCCTGACTGAGTAAAGTAGTAGGGTTTCAGACTATGTGGCAGTCTCATTTTGCAGGGGCTGCAAGGGGAATGATTCTACTCACGAATATGAACCCTAAACCCTAAACTCTGAAGCCTAAACCCTAAACCCCCAAACCCTAAACCCCTAAACACTAAACCCTAAACCCTCAACCACTACTCATGAAATACACCGCCTCCAGGGCTGGAGGGCTGAGTAGGGTTTTGGCTTCCCCCTCGTCTCAAAAGCGCTGAGGGTCTTTCTTTAGGCTTGCTGTGGCGCT